ATTTTAATGCACGTATGCAGCAGCTACCACCGCCCTGCCCCCGTCTCCGTAACATTCTCTCCGTGCCCACAGGGATCCGATAAGAAAATGGAAGCATTTAGTTTGTATTGGTGCCAGGAGCATCTGGTTTAACCAGTCTGGCAGATTTCCTGACGAACGGCCAGAAATGACTTAATCCGAGCCCAATCTAAGAGAGGGGCTAAGGCGACAGTCTCGTCCGCAGCTTCACTCGCGAGATTAACATTTGATGCCCCGTTTCGCCACGATATCTGTCCCTCTACGATATTTTTACATTTCATCAGCCACAGAACCCTCTTCCGGGAGTGCATAATTTCAGCAAGATTGGTTCAACATAAACAAATTTTAGACCAGCTTCAATATTCGGTGTCCCATCAGTAGAGTCAGGCTTGCTTGAACAAATATTGTTCAAGTGCCAGACTGCAGGTATTGTGGTTAATGCAGACATGAATCCTTGTAAAAAGGTTTCAATTTTGTTGCCAGAAAAAAGGGAAAAAACCCTATTATATTTTGGTACTGGCAAAGGAGGTCTAATGATGTAGATGCTCACCCCGAGCCCTCATTACTTTGATAGTGCATTGTCTTTGAGCTGTACGCCTTTTGGCGTCACCTGGTCGAGCACCAATTGGGTCGAGGCTAAAAAGAAAGCCGTCCCTTGGTGTGGACCAATCAGTTTCAAGGACAATGCATATATAGTATTTTTTTGCATTTTGACTGCAGGTATTGTGGTTAATGCAGACATGAATCCTTGTAAAAAGGTTTCAGTTTTGTTGCCAGAAAAAAGGGGAAAAACCCTATTATTACAAGTGCCAGATGTTTATAAAGATCCTCGCTCTGTGTTGGATATGGGGTTTACTTCTGTGCTGAATAGATTTTAATTAATTTCTGGAGACACAACAGAGTTCTACTCAATTACTTGTATTTGCTTTTGCCTCAGCAATAAAAATAATGTATCACGAACAAACACAGATCAGACATCGCAATGTTTATAATGAGGGGGGTGACCATGATGATGACGACGGGCGATGGAGTTGCTACAGGGTGAACGCGCGCGATCCTCGCGAAATGAGTTTCCTGCGCCAGGAGGTGGACTGCGTGGTGGTGGTGGAGTGGGGAGCGGTCGTGTTGTGGTGCCACGGCCGTGGAGCAACTCCACAAGCGCCGCGACTCACCCCTGTCCCAACCCTGAGCATACACACACACGCAGAACACACACACGCAGCACACACACACGCAGCACACACGCAGCACACACGCAGCACACACACGCAGCACACACACGTAGCACACACACACGCAGCACACACACACGCAGCACACACACGCAGCACACACACGCAGCACACACGCAGCACACACACGCAGCACACACACGCAGCACACACACGCAGCACACACACACAGCGTCCCGGCGGGGGATCGCCTGGCACCACGGGTTTTCATCCGAAGGGCACCGAGGTGGGGAGTCCCGCGGTTTCCCGGTGCCAGGAGATTGGCCGACCCTCCCAGGGCAAATCACATTGCGGCGCCCCTAAATTGGCTTAAATTGTATGAACGCACAAAGGTTCACAGGTAGGCGCACGATTGGCTGCGCGGAATGACGTAACCCTAGATTTTCAAAGTCAAGTGGCATGAAAAGGGGAGCGAAAAAATGGTTCAAGAGCTTGGTCGCCAAGACCCCCCTGCCGTCCTGCTTCCTTGAGCCGCTCGCAGAATCCGTGTGATGCCAGCGAGTGCTGCTACGAGGCAGTGATAGGCAAGGTTTTTTCGTCATCCTCCCTCCGACTCTCACAGCGTCCGTGCGACGCCGTGAGTACAGCTGCGAGGTACATGATAGGGCGTGAGTGTTTGGGGACTTGGATAGAAGTAGACTAGGCTCTGCTCGCAGAATACTCCCTCCGGGCAGTGCAAGGTTTGCGCCGTGAATAAAAGTTAGCACAGAGCCTCGGCGTAGTGTTTGTGATTTGAGTGTGTGTGGAGCGACTGCCCGCAGATGCGCGCGCGTTCGTGCCGCCGCTGAGCGTGAGTCTTAGTCCGGGCGCGGGGTAGAATATAACAATCCCCACAGGCGCACGCGTGTTCCCGCTGCTGCTGTAGTGTTAACTGTGTGGCGTGCGCGTTCTAGAATATAATCGCCAGCGGGAGTGCGCGTGCTCGCCGCCGCGTGAGCATTAGCGGTGGTGTGTGCCAGTGAGTGAGTGAGGATTGACCCTGTCCGGCGGTAAGCCAGCCATGTCTCTCCGAGAGGGCGCTAGCGCGGGAGGGCCGATCACTCGATCGGCGGGGCCCGGCACGAGCTGAGCGAGGCGGTGGAGGGGGGAGTGGAGGGGGCAAACTTAGCGCCCCACCTGCCCAGCGAGGGCGGTGGGGCGGACGCCGGCCCCCACAGTGTAACGGTTAGGGTTACGGCAAGTGTTGTTAGCGAGCACCTTTGAAGGCCAACGCCAGGCCCGTCCGCCTTTGTCTCCCGAGTGGCGATGTTTACACACCGCACCAGGTAATCATTTGAGGATAAATCGACCTAGGGGAGGCCCAGATAATTGTTTTTGGCGTTGGCCGTAAGCGAGAATCGAACTCGGGTGGGCGGGTTCGTAGTGGAGCGCGCTAATAGCTACTCGAGCACTCCCCCACCCCCTGCCCCCCAACCCCCCTGCCCCGCCCGCGTGCAAGCGATGAGACGCGGGAATGCGCGAGTCGAGGATTTCCACTGTGCATTCCTGGGCGCGGCCTCCGCTCTCTTAAGCCGACTCCCCCCACCTCGCCTCCATCAGTGCCACCTTGAGGAGTCGAGGTGTCGCCACAGCCAGCTACCAACTACAACCAGCTACCACCGAGTAATTAAAACCAACTACCACCACCGCCACGATGCTGAGGTTCGCCCTTCTACTCGTGCTGGCGCTGGGGTGCGGAGCCAACCACCTCCTGACAGGTAAGCGGTGGCGAGGGGGAGCCGTGGACCCTAAGGGGTTGTGGCGAGGGAGCTTCTGGCTTTGAATCCCACTGGGGGTCTCCCGCATATTTCTCTTGCACACGGAGTCGCCCATTGTGTGCCTGTCTGTCGCCGCTGTGAAGTTCGCACTGCTTCTTGGTGGATTCTATTCGCGTCTCTCTCTCCCAGTTGTAGCGCTGGTTTAATCGGCCCGATCGTTGCGTGGTAATCTTTCCATGATAAATTCTCGCGTTCAACATCGAATTACCCGGTCGGTATTCTTGGTTCTTTCCGTAAAGTCACGTAGAAGGGAAACAAAACAATAAAAAACCAAAGCAAAAAAAAAACGCCACTTTGTTCAAATTTTCTTGCTGTGGTTTTCACACCTGATGATGATTACTTGTGTTGCAGTCGAAACGTCGTGATAATTTTTATTGTTTCATATTGTTTTTTTATTGTTTTATTGTTTTCCTTCTACGTGACTTTACTGAAAGAACCAAGAATATGAATCCCTGCAGTCACGAAAGCTTTAAATCAAAATTTACCCGGTCGGTGTTAGAGAACGGTCCTCGGAAATAGACATCACAGAGTTACTAATGAGGGGTCATCTTTTATCCGCACACTATGGGACAATGCACACGTGCTTCCGCAAGCTCGTGGTATGGCAGTTGACGCGATATATATTTTATTATTATCAGAGCCACATCAACATAACCAGGCTGAGACCATCAGCTCGCTCATTCCGAGACCCCGGTTAAAAATCACGTTTTAAACCGGGAATCAAACCCAGGTTGTCATCGCTGTCGACTCAGCATTATCATTGCCCTGAGTAACCCGGGCACCTGGTGGCACGCTGACTAGGATGTTGATGACTTCAGTCGGTGGGTGCGATTATAGAGGGCAGATCTCGGAGGTTGCGAATCTGCTGAACAGCAGCCGCGGGATGCGCACCCTGTCGCCGCGGTGGTCGCTGGCCGGTGGCGGTGCCCGGGTGCTGCCTCCTGCCCAGCGGTCGGGACAGCGGGGCGCAGAGCAGCGGGGCGCGGGGCCCGGAGAACCCCTTTAGGACGCTTCGGTAGCTAGCGAGGTCTCGATCTTGATGATGGGTGGATGATCGTGTCCTGCAGATTATCAGGTGAAACTGCTGAACACCAGCGTCGTTCGAGCGGCGCAGACACCTCAGTCCGTGGCCTTCGCAGTGCCCTCGTGCGAGATCGCCATGATCGCGGGCACCATGCTCAACATCTTCGTGACGCCCAACACGACGGGAGGTGAGTCTAGCACGACGCATCGGGCACCTGCCCCTCCCTCCACCTCTAGACCCCATCACTACCACCCTCCTCATCACTTCTCATCTTCTTCCACCAACCTCTGCTCCGCTTCCCCTTGCCCTCACCTGTCTCCACCCCACACCCATCCTCCCTCCATCGCCTCCCTCAATCGCCTCCCTCCACTCACCTACCCAGATGTCCTTATTGCCCTCACCTCCCCTCTATCTTCTTGCATCGAGTTACAATCTCAATGTGTGCAAGCAACCATTGCCACCGCCCCAATCCACGCCCCCAAGGCGCGGTGCAGTACCCCCAGGGGGCGGGGCAGTATCCCCAGGGCGGTGTGTGATGCCCGGTGCCCCCAGGGCGGTGTGTGATTCCCAGTGCCCCCAGGGCGGTGTGTGATGCCCGGTGCCCCCAGGGCGATGTGTGATGCCCGGTGCCCCCAGGGCGGTGTGGATGCCCGGTGCCCCCAGGGCGGTGTGTGATGCCTGGTGCCCCCAGGGCGGAGTGTGATGCCCGGTGCCCCCAGAGCGGAGTGTGACGTGCCGACCGTGTGTTCTCCTGCAGTCGAGGTGATCGTTGGGCAGGTGGCGGTGCCTGGGTGTCGCGTGGCGCGGGCCGTGTCGGGGCAGGTGGTGTCTGGAAACGACGGGACGGGCCCGGGCATCCCCGTGCCCAGCGGAGTGGCCTATCGGGTCACGGGACTCACCCCCAGCACCAGTTACTCGTGAGTTGCGCACGTGGTCATGGGGCTATGGGGCCCGATTGGGAAACACGGCAAGAAGCAGTAATCTGTTTATTATCGTTCTGCTTGTTTACCCATGACTTTGTTTCAGGAGGGTCCTGCCAAGTTTTCGCAGTAGAGAGCGATGGCTGCTGCTGTATGTCATCCTAATTGAATAATTTGCAAGGGCTCATTCACGTCCACTGTGAAGCAGACTTTTTTCTACCGTTAATACGCCCGCAGTATTAATCAGGGCGGCCACTGGATAGAGCCGTGAACCGAGTCAACCCCCTCAACCAGAATTGAACTCTCAATTTTTAGATTACGAGCCGATCGTTGTAATGTATTAAAAAAATCAAAGTTTTAAAAACATATACATTGTTGAGACACTGAAGGCGACGGGGTGGTCTATGCAGGATACCGCGCGGCGCGCGTCCCGTCCCTACGGCTACAGCGCCTCCCTCCGCGCAGGAACTATGGAGGCGACACACCAGCCCTGTCCCCGGCCTCACTCCTCCACCCCCGCGCACCGATCATCCCACTTGTGCGGCAGGCTGACAGCGCAGTGAGAACACTCGCGCCTCACAGCAAGCTCATGGGTTCGATTCCAACTGGGACACCTTTCCGTGTGGAGTTTGCAAGCTCTCCCCCTGTTCCACATGGGCTTCCTCTGGCTTCTCCAGTTTCCTCCCATCGCCGAAATAAATCCTACAATGTAACCGGTATTGGCCAAACATCTCAATTCAGAAAATTACCCAATGCAAATTACTTGATTGGGGATTTCGCATATCAACATTGCCCCCCGCCCCCTACTGTCAAGACTTGGTAGGACCATCCTGAGAAACAGTTGAGACTCCGCTTGGAGCTTTCCTGGGAAAACAAGGGTAATAATAATATGCAAGGTACACACGCGTATGCACGGTCCGAGTGTTCGCTGTGTGCGTGCAGAATGCAACGTGGGTTCGCTGGTTTTCTCCCATGGCTAAAACCCCCCCATACAATGTAACCCGAATTGGACAAACACCGTATCGCAGCGCTAAAAATATCTACAAATCACTCACTTGGGATTCCCCTGTGCCACAAAAAGGTGACAGGACCCTCCTTGAAAGAAGTTTGAGACTCTGTGAGGCTATCCTGGATAGGGATGGAACTATTCTTAAACAATAACCCCACCCTCCTTTCCCCCCACAGGGTGGTTCTCCGCCATTCAACGTTGGGATTGCAGTCTGTGCCCGGGATCCTCAGCACGGCGAATGCGCGCACCCCCCGCAGCGCGGTGGACGCGGAGGCGTTCTCGCGCTCGGGAGGAATGGTGGTGATCACGGTCATCCTCTCCGTCCTGATCTTCCTGCTCCTTGCCATCCTCGTCGCCGCCTTGCTGCTCGGAAACAAAAATTGAAAGGGAGGGACCCATCCCCGAGACCCCCTCCCCGAGTCCCCCTCCCCGAGACCCCCTCCCCGAGATCCCCTCCCCGAGACCCCCTCCCCGAGACCCCCTCCCCGAGACCCCCAATACTTTGAGACCCCAAATTCCTAAGATCCTGAGACCCACGCTAAGGTCATCAGACCCACTCACTGAGGTCCGTGGCATCTCGCTTGCCGGATGAGGGACCCCCTTGTACTTGTCCTCTCGTCTAATGTGAAGGACCCCTGTATCTTGTTGGCGTTGGCCTTGTACTTTTACTGCCTAGGGTCCGTGTAGTTGAGTTTAAGGTAGTGTGGTGTTTAAATTTTGACTGCGTGAATGCTGTATCGCGTTTTAAATGTCGCCTGGCTCTACTCCGCGTTCGTTTGAAGACATCGCTGCTTCGCTGCTGTGATCGCGCGGCAGCGATCACCGCGTCCATGAATGAATAAATCTGAGAATTGACCAAAACTGCCGACCCTGTCTCCGAGTCCCGACGTCGACCCCTCTACTACCCTCTCATCCCCATTTCCTACCTTAATCATCTCCTATACCCTCATCCCCTCGCTCTAGCTTACCCTCTTTTGTATCTCTTAATCTTGTTCTACCTCTTGCCTCTCCCTCTTGTCCCTTCCTTCTCGTCCGTTCTCGCGTATGTCGTCTCCTCCACGCTCCTCCTCCCCCTCTCTTTGCGTCTCTCTCACCACGTCCCCTCTCCTCCCGCCCCTCTCGTCTCTGGACACGGGTGAGTGGCGCCCTCTGTAGGCGATCCCCGCACGTCTCGGAGCGCCGGGCTCTGATAAATCGCCACTCTGAACAATAATCCCGGGCGCCACCGCTCAGCCTCCCGCGGCCACGCGAATTCTCTTGGCGATGCTGCTGAGACGTCGCGGCGCAGAGACTGTCACGGCGACGGCCCGGTCATACTAGCGCCCCCATCCTCCGGCACGCCGCCCCGCCCCCTCCACTCCCCCCTCCTGCTGCTGCTACCGCTGCTGTTCCTTCTGCTGCTACCGCTGCTAACATGGCTGCTGCTGCTGCCCGAGTGCTGCTGTGCGCGGGGCTCGCCCTGGCGTTGTGCGCGCTGGGACTGCTCGCCGTGGCTGCGTGCTCCGACCACTGGTATGAGACGGACACGCGGCAGCACAAAGAGCGCTGCCGCATCTCGCTCAGTCGCCGTAATGACCCGGGGTACATTTACAACTACAACAGCAACCTTCCGCTAAGACAAAGGCCGCGCGGGCAGCGGGGCGGTAGATTCGCCCGGCATCGGCGAGATTTCTGGGGCTCCGCCACGCCCGACGCGGCCTGCTTTCGGCACTACAACTCTACGCACACGGGTCTCTGGACCAGGTGCTTTCGCCTGGGCTTCGACGACGAGATCGACGACCTCATCGCCAAAGGTACACGGCAGTGGGCGAGTGATGGTCGGCTGGGAGGTGCTCGGCGGCACCGCGGGCAGCGGGCGCTGTCCGTGGTGCTGACGGCGGCCGCGGATTTCAACGCGACTGGGGCAGGCGGCTTCGTGTCTCCCGCGGCCGCCGGTGCTGTTATTGTTGGGCAGTCAACGAGGACAATGCAAAAGCACTCTCAGTGTAATCTGCCCCGTGTGAGTGTGCGAGTGGGGGGGGGGGGGGGGGGGGGGTTGGGAGGAGGGATTGTTTTCTTCCCCAAGTGCCGCCCGCTCCTGTTCGGGAGACAAGAGACCTCCGCGATTCGGGTTCGCGAGTTCTTCCTCAACGGCTTGGCCATGGCGGCGCCTGATAAACAACGGGGGAACGCCGCCATTCTTTCACACGGGGCCGACTCTACCGAGGCGGAACGCGTGTTCGTTGGGTACTTGGGCGCCCCTTGCCCCTGGTATCTCCCCCCTCCCCCCCCCCCCGCATGCCGACGCTGTCCCCCTCGCGCGGGTCACGGCGGTCTCCCGTCGCGTTCCCTAAATCCCGAACCCCCTGTGTGCGGGTCGCTGCCCCCGTGTGTCGCGCTCACGGGGTGGGGTATGGTTTGGAGGGGGCGTGTTGTTTACACGCGGTTTCTGCTGCTGCTGCCCCTGCTGCTACTGCTGGGTGCTGCGTGCAGGCGCCGTGCTGCGCTGCGTTGCCGTGCGCTACCACTTCTCGTCCGCCGCGCTGCCGCGCAACCTCGCGCACAACGTGACGCTCGCCCTGCGCCAGGACGAGTGGCACTCTCTGCGTGAGTACGGCGCGGGCAGCACTCACGGGCAGCACCCAACTGGTACTCATGACACTTGAGCAGCATTCATGGGCAAGTACACTGCGGGACACTTGATCAGTACGTAAATGCACCACTCACGAGCAGGTGCCCCCACCCAGCGGAACAGCACACTCAGCACATCCCACCGAGCAGGTCACGAGTCGGAGTGAGCGAGGTGGATGGTAGCAGCACAGGACTGTGGGGGGTGGCGACTTGGTGGAGAGGCCTTCATCCAGCAGTGGATAGACAATGGCTGCTGATGATAAGAGCAGCACTTAGCAATACTCATAAGCAATACTCACGAAGTAACCCATGAACACACGCTCCCGCACTGCTATCTGTGTTCGCTCAGACCTGCGGCGCATGACCGTGGGGTTTCTGGGGATGGCGGTGGCCGTTGTGGCCTTCGGCTGGGTCGTGGGGGCCCTGGGCGGGTGCCGAGATCGCGGACTCATGCAGTACGTGGCGGGGCTGCTCTTCCTCATGGGCGGTGAGACAGCACACCATGCAGAGTAGCACACTATGTACGTGAGCACGCCCTGTACAGCAGCATACCGAGCACAGCAGCACACCCATCACAGCAGCACACCATTCACAGCAGCATAGCATCAAACCCAAGCACAACAATGTTGCAAATATAATTCATAGCCAATGCTATCCGGTAATAGAAAATATACTGGCAACAGTAGTATGGGGCCCCGTCTAACGCACAATAAATATGCTCACTCAACAAACTTCACAACTGAGTGCACCCCCCCCCCCCCACTCCCTACCCTCCCAGGAACTTTCTGCATCATCTCGCTCTGCACCTTCGTGGCCGAGATCAACTTCGAGCTGTCTCGCTTCCCCAAGAGTGTCTTCAGCCTCCCCGGCGACATCGCCCACGGCTACGGCTGGTCCATGTTCTGCGCGTGGGGGGGTCTGGGACTGGCGCTCCTCGCCGGCTTTCTCTGCACCCTCGCACCCTCCTTAGCCGGGCCACGGACTGCTACACCCAAGCCCCTCTCCGAGAACGGGATGGTGTGATCCTCGCCCGCTCTGTCCTCGGCGGGGGAGGAAACCCACGGGGCCGCGTACGTGGTCATATGCCCCCCCCCTCCCCAAAACCTTCCTTACCATTGCGGGGGGCAGAGAGATGCACGGGGGGGGGAGCCCCTCCCCTCACCCACCCACCTACCCCCTTCCATCAACCACTCCCCCTACCCCCCTCGTTCCTCTCCACCCCCTCGCAGCATCTGGCCACCTGTGCACACCGCGATTGGATGAGGGGCCAGTCGTGAGCTTCTTGGGTGTGAATCTGCCAGGTGTGATGAGTCTGCCGGGTGAGTTTCAGAAGGTGTTAATCTGCCAGGTGTTAACCCGCCAGGTGTTAACCCGCCAGGTGTTAACCCGCCAGGTGTTAATCCGTCGGGTGCCGGGCAGGGGCGGCGCCCCCTCACCACGTGACACCCATTGGCGCCACGACGCGTCCGGGTTGGTGTCGTCAGTGTTAGAATCGCGTTTACTGAACACTATAGATGAGAAATGCAAATTGTGATGGGGATATTTGTCTGTGTGTGTTGGGGGTTTTTACGATCATCGCTGTTATGATTCTTTTTTGTACATACGAATTCGTGTCGGGGTCACCGAGACGCGGGGTGACACTCGTGCTGTGTCCCCGGCGCAGCCTCGTATGGGATTTGGGGATCCCAGCTCAAGTGTTCCGAGTCTGCGGCTCAGTGCGTCTGGGATTTGGGATGTGGAGTTGAGGGTCCGATGAGCAGGGGCCTGGGATTTGGAAAGCGTCGCTCTGAGTTTAGAATCCCTGCTGCTTGTAGAGTACACGGATCGCGAATCTTCGCCTTGAAGCAGCCGTCACCTCGTACCAGTGGCCGTGCCCCTATGGCATGGAGTGCCACATTTGCAAAAATGAAATCGCCACATTCGAAATTAGAATGTCCTGAAGAAGGGCCATTTCCCGAAACGTTAACGTATTAGATATGTCTATGCTGTAAGGGACAGTTATGGCCAACGTGATGAGATATTTCTGCTTGTGGGTCCACTGCAAATACAATGTCTCATTGTTTCAATGTTTAATCGAAGCTTCATTTCTGAGTATAAAGAAATGGGCCCCGTGCAAAGCCGGGGTTCCCTCTGGCCTCGTCGTTGGTTCAGCTGCCAGCCCTTTGACCCCAGTGCTCGTCTCTGTGTCTCCCTTAGCTCCCTAACCAGGGCAGATAACCGCCTCCCTCTCTCCGAGGAGCCTCTGGCAGCGTAATGTCGTCACCAACACTGCCAAGCGAACACACCGTGGTTAGGAGCTCTGGCTGAGCACCGATTGTGGCAGCAGTGACGTCGCGTGGTTAGATAGGAATATGGATCGAGTCTGGTGGTTGACATGGGCCCTTGTGCAAGATGTTAAATAGGGTTCCCTTCCTAATTACCCTCTCTTCCTAGCACAGCGCCTGAGCTCCTCTGGTCTGTGGACCCCTGCGCAGCTGAATTCCCTGCACAGTCGATAGCTACGCTACTGAAGCAGTCGTTGTTAGGAGTAAGGTCGGGCTGAGTGGGAGGGCTAATGCCAGTTGGTTGGTTAGAGGTCAGAATTCGGGCTCGTATTCGTGGCTGGTTGGCTAGCTGTGGTCAAGGGTAGGTCTCGCACGAGCCGCTAGGTAGAGATTGTGGTTGGGGCTAGCTCTAGACTGGTTCTGTCTGCCCGAGCCCGCGTGTCCACAGCCATCACTGCTGCACCCTCCACCAGCCGGCGTGGCTTGGAGCCCCTCTTCGGACCCGCACCCCCGGCACCGATCACGGCGGTTCTGCTCCGGCTCGACGGGGAGATTTTATGATTGAAGTTGATGCTTTTCCACTGCACAGACCACGGTATCCGCTGCGCTGCGAAGCCTCCCGTCGTCACAATGCCACGCCAGAAGGCACGGGTTCGAAAAGTTGAATCCTGTACAGTATTTCCTTTCAAGGACAATATTTAATAGTTTTGTTAATTTATTTATTGTGTTGACCAATGTACAGTGCTCGGTTTGCTCGCTAAGATAGGGTTCATATAGCCTGTGTGGTGTGAATGTGGAGAGCCGGGGTTGGTGGATCGTGTGAGGAAGGGCGCATTCAGAATGGATTTCCACTGGCATGATATTAATCACTAGATTTACGACATCAGTATTGTGGATGCACTGTCAAGTTGCGTGCCGGGGCTGCTGATTTCGCTTGTGTGTGCGGTACGTGTGTGTGTGTCTTGTGCGTGTCGACTGTGCGTCTATGAGTGTAAGTAGGCATCGGTGGTGCAGTGGTGAACACACTGAACTACGAAACCGACGACCCGAGTTCGATTCACACAAAGCCAACATCAGTTGCAGATATCTGAACCGGTCCTGGTTCTCCATTAGGTCGACTCAGCCTTAAATGAGTACCTGGTGCGGTATGTAAATACCAGTACTGGGGAGACAAAGGCGACCGGGCGTGGTGTTGGGTGCCCACCACCATGTTTGCCATGCCGGCCTTAATAGGTGTCCGTTAACGGAACTTGCCCCAGCAGTCTGTTCGGGATATAGGGGGAATCTTAGGTCTTTATCGTGTGTGCAACGTGTGTGTCTTTGTGTATGGAGCGTGTGCCTTTTTTAGTGAGCGTCCTGTGTATGTGTATGGCGTGTGTGTGGAATATGTGTGTGCGTGCCTGTGTATGAGTAGAATGTCGATGTTGTCTATAGAGCGTGTCTGTGTATGTATGCGGACTATCCGGTGTGCGGAGTGTGTGCTGTGTGTGTCTCTGGAGCAAGTACTGCCTATGTGTGTGGCGCATGTGCCCGTGTACTTATGCACTACTAGCTAGCTACTAACGCTGTGTCGCTCTCTGTGACCACGACTGGAGTAGGAGGCGCGGTGGCGAGGCGTCTGTCTGCGTCCCTGCACGCTCTGCCTGCTTCGCGTCGCTTGCCAAATGAGTCACGTGAAGGGAGGACATCTGGACCCATTCATACGCCCTGTCCCCGACACAAACCCATACGCGCGGTCTGCTTGGTGCTGCCACGAGACACACTTTGGGTCACAAACCCGTGTTTTCATCCCCGTCACGAGGGTTCGCTTCAAATCCTCCGCATCTCAAAAGCGCCTCGCATCACCCATCAAACAGTTAATTGCCCTGCGCCATTCTAACAGGGGATCTGCAGTGGCAGCCACCCCTACGCCGCGGCTGATGTACGCAGCACCGACCTGCGAATGGGTAGGCTGTCAGTCGGTTCGGCGATGTTTCTTTGTGGTTTTCACAAGTACTTTGCGATATTTTTAGTTTGTCAATTTGGCAAATCTGTACTGTGACGCCGGCACACGTGACCATACATTGTGTCGCGAGTATCATTCCCGTCGCGGTGTCACGATTACTGTGCTCACGTCGTCTATAATACCACAATTATCATGGAAGCGTCATCATCATGAGAGTTTGATGAATAATATCAGCATGGTTTCATCATCAGGACAGAGTTGGGGGGGGGGGGGTCAGCAAGAGGGAACATTTATCCCGCCGACATGCAAAAGAGGGCCCCACAGCCGCCTGTGTTTATGTCGATAATAAGCAGGCTCCACGTAACATTCAGAGTGGCCCGATCATTATTGCAATCATCATCGCGACGTTATGATCACCATGATCGTGACATCATCACCGTCGTGGTTTAGATCACCGCGCCTCGTCACCAGCCCCTGGCCGAGCCCTCCTCGTGTCCGCGTCTCGCCATCTCGTTTGTACATTGCAATAAATGCGATATTGACTTGTATGAAGCGGTGTGCGGGCGTGTGGTCTCATCACGGGAACGCGACTCTGAGGAGAAACGGACAGCAGGCGCAAGCTAAAAAGGACTGGTGGTTGAGATCAGGGTGGTGGCGACGGTGGTGAAGATGGTGGTGATAATGGCCGGCACCAGTGGTGTCGATATCTACCTCTGAGGAGGAGGCTCCTGGGCAGTTGGAGGCAGTCGCCTTCCAACAACTACGGAGGGCGGAGGAGCGACGCTCACAACAACGAGCAGAGCGCTGTGTGGATAAAATACATACATTTGGCTCAGTTGGGAGCACAGGTGTGAATCTGCCAGTCGTGTAAGTTAACTCATAACACCTGGATTCTGTTCTGACTTCTTGACAGTAGCGATCCTTCCACACTTCACGTCGCCTCAAGTGCACCTAGCCTGGCACAAGTAGTGTGGTTACATCACCGTCACGTAGTGGAGAACGGCGGTTATTGTTGACGAGCTTTAATGGTTATTGGGGAGGGGTGCGGCATGTGGAGTGATGTCACCGGCTCATGATTATTAATGAGGGGGGGGGGGTGTGACATGTGGAGTGCGCGACCTTGTCCATTAGTGTAAATTTCCACACGGGCATGAATATTAATGAGGTGGGGGGCCTCTTTTGCAGTGACGTCACGCACGGATGTCGCACTGTTCTGCGAAGATAGATTTTTTTACCGTCACTTTCTGTAAAGAAACGTCATATTTGAAGCGACTTTGCGTAATAAACAATTTAATTCAGCTCGACCTTCCTCTGCGTTAGTGTAAAAATCCACCCACTCATGAATATTAATGAGGGGGGTGGGCCTCATGTGGAGTGACGTCACGCGCGGGAAGGACAGACATTTCTGGGTGATTATAGTAAGTAATGATGGTAATGGTGGTGGTCTTGAAGGTGATCGTGTGGATGATAGTAAAGGTGGTTATGATGGTCGTGGTGTTTATGAAGGCGGTGAAGATGATGGTGTTGATACCACTGGGCCACATTAAATCTAAAATACTGCACAACCATACGTAAATGTTCCTTAATTTAAAGCTCCACAACAAAAGTCGGCTCGGACAAATGTCCTTGGCGTTCGTCATGTGGGTGAAAGTGGGAGTGGACCAGTTTGATGTTGGTAACACTCGGGGGTAAAGATCTTGGTCCTACATCATTAGACCTCCTTTGCCAGTACCAAAATGTAATAATAGGGTTTTTCCCCCTTTTTCTGGCAACAAAACTGAAACCTTTTTACGAGGATTCATGTCTGCATTAACCACAATATCTGCAGTCAAAATGCAAACAAAAAAAATACTCTTCTTGGTTCTTTCGGTAAAAAACAGGTCTGTCCAGAAGACAGCGCTTGAATGAACGCTGCCAAGCAAGGACCGCGTCTTTTAAAGGTGTGTGGGCGGAGTTAACATATGAATTAGCATGTTACCCAGCCCCACCTCCGGAGCGGAGGAGGGTGGCGGCTGGGCACAAGAAAATACCAAAGCAGAGCAACTAAGGTGCGCTGCTCTGTCCTGTGTTGCATTATAACTGTGTTATAAACTGGACTACTATACAATACAGTATTATACCTTCCAATCTAAACTACATGGTATCATATCATATCCATAGACAAATTCCACCTTTGAATTATACAATGCGTTACTTTACACTACCCTATACTTTAGACAATAAAATATTAGACTTGTAACATTACACAGTCTTATTCTATGAACCCAACTATATACCACACTGCTGTATATTCACTATGCAATTACGATACTATATATTTCCTTATGAATTATGTTAAACATTGCAATGTTATACTATTTATTATTATTATACCACATACTATAAACCATATCATTAACCGTGGTGTGAGAGATATTAAGAGGCAGTGCCAGCGAATGGACTGCGGTCTGAAGGTCACCGTAAAATACAATCAATTAAGAACCGAAATGGTTATAACATCTTTCCAATGGTTACTAAGCCAGAATCCATCTTCTCGGTTGAAATTGTCTCTGTTGTATATGTGGATGGCCTCATGAACGAATCTCTCATGATAACCGGATGGCTTGCAGAGAACCTCCGTCTTGGAGAAGTCAATGTCGTGTGAGCCCACTGAATTATAACAGTGATCTGCCATGGCTGAGGAGTTAGTCCTACGGTGTTTTAAGTCTGCTTTATGTTCACGGATGCGGTCCGAGATATCTCGTTTGGTTTCTCCAATGTAGCTGCTTCCACAGAGGCAACTTAGTTAGTAAACGCCCGCGTACTGTATGTCTGGAACCAAATCTTTTACAGACGGAACCAGATCATGGATTTTATGTACTGTATTGAATCGGACCTGGATCTTGGGTTTATTCAGGATTTTGGCGATCTTTTTTGTGATCCCTGCAATGTAGGGTAAGGTGATGGTTTTGATTGGCTCCTCAAGAGGATCCTTCTTCATGACTGGAGTGATGGCTTTGCGGATTGTGTAGTCGGAGTAACCATTAGCCTTGAGAGCTTGGTGTACGTGCTTGAGTTCACTGGCAATGTGTTCCTGGTCGGAAATGCATTGGGCTCTATGGTATAGAGTATTGATGAGGGAGTTCTTCTGGGATGGATGGTGGTGGGAATCCGGTTTTAAGTAAGCATCCGTATGGGTAGCTTTCCTGTAGACAGAGTGGCTCACTGAACCATCAGGTCTCCTTTTAATTAAGACATCCAAAAAGGGTAGCTTGCCATCTTTTTCGACCTCCATGGTAAATCTGGTGGCTGGGTGTATGGAATTGATGTGGTCGAGGAATTGGTCTAGAGTAGGCCGGCCATGTGGCCAGATGACAAAAGTGTCATCCACGTACCTCTTCCATAAGGTCGGGCGTAGAGTGGCAGTCTGGATGGCGTCAGTTTCAAAATTTTCCATGAATACGTTGGCTACAACCGGAGATAGGGGGGAGCCCATTGGGGTGCCCTCAGTCTGTTTGTAGCAAGCTCCATTCCAGGTGAAGTATGTGTTGGTTCAGCAATGTCTCACCAGGGGGGGTACATCAGTTTGCAGTCCTTGGTGAACCAAGTCTTCAATGATTGCGATGGTGTCAGCTACCGGAACTTTGGTGAATAAGGAAACCACATCAAAACTGACAAGCAGGTCGTCTGGGGACAGGGAAATACCCTTGATTGTCGATACCAGATGAGTAGAGTTTAGTACCGCAGAGGTGTTTTTTTCCAGTGAAAGGTCGCACGATATCAGACAGAAAACGAGCCAGTTGGTGGGGGAGTTGATAGTGGAGACGATGAGACAAAGGGGTGTATCTTCTTTGTGTATCTTTGGAAGGCAATATAATCTTGGTGGTCTGGCCGCAGAAGGTTTCAACGAGAACTGTTTGGTTTGATCAATTAATGCTGTTGAATCAGAAATGATTTTGTTGGTTTTAGTAACCAGGCTGTTGGTGGGGTCTCTTCTTATTTTTGTATAGCTGCCATCGTTGAGTAGTTCTTGAATTTTGTTGTTATATTCTATTTTGTCCATGATGATAGTGGCATTGCCCTTGTCGGCTGAGAGGACGACAATGTCATCTCTCTTTTTTAATTGAGATAATTAAAAGCGCTCATCTTTGCTGATGTTGCAAGGTGGCATCTTAGCGTTTTTGAGGGTTGCAGCGATTTCAGATCTTGCTACGTCTGCAGCGATGTCACCCAGGCCCTTGAGTGCAACGTCGACATGGGCAATGATATCATTAACTGGTATGTGTCTCGGTGTGACTGTAAAGTTTAGACCTTTAGCTAAAACGGCTTTCAGACTACCAGAAAGAGAACTGTTACTGCGATTAAATACGACTTTGTTAACGTCTAGCTTTTCGGTGTGTGGGTCCGATTTCTTGTTGGAAAGGCGGTTGAATTTGGAAATCAAATTGTCCTTATATTTGGTCGACATAGTGGCAGCTGAAGAGGCAGTCATATTGTCAACATGTTCCCAATCCGATGTAGACATTATTGCCGTCAATGATAAGTGTGATTTGTAGAGTATCTTGTCTAAATCATCTTGTTCGGTGCATGTAAGTCTGATTTTTTCCGAGATAAGAGCTAAGCTAGTTCTAGCTAGAATTCATTTTGCATTAGAAAAAGTTACAGCAACAGAGGTTAGTGTAAATGCGGTTGGTATTACCTTAGAGTCGCGGCATCTCTTCAGAAAGGTGAGAGACTCGATTAGTTGAGCCTTCTTATCCTGGAGTTTGTTGAAGGATCTTAAGGTTATGTGGAATCCCTCCCCGTAGAGGCGGTTAAATTTAGATTTAAAGCTTTCGTGACTGCAGGGATTTATCTTCTTGGTTCTTTCGGTAAAGTCACGTAGAATGGATGTGACCCAGGCCCTTGAGTGCAATGTCGATATGGGTAATGATATCATTAATGGGTCTGTGTCTCGGTGTGACTGCAAAGTTTAGACCTAAAGCTAATACGGCTTTCAGACCATGAGAAATAGAACTGTTACTGCGATTAATTACGACTTTGTTAACGTCTATCTATTCGGTGTGTGGGTCCGATTTATTGTTGGAAAGGCGATTCCCACCAACATCCATCCCAGAAGAACTCTCTCATCAAGACTCTGTACCATAGAGCCCAATGCATTTCCGACCAGGAACACATTGCCAGTGAACTCAAGCACATACACCAAGCTCTCAAGGCTGATGGTTACTCCGACTACACAATCCGCAAAGCCATCACTCCAGTCATAAAGAAGGATCCTCTTGAGGAGCCATTCAAAACCATCACCTTACCCTACATTGCAGGGGTCACAAAAAAAATCTCCAAAATCCTGAACAAACATAAGATCCAGGTCCGATTCAACACAGTACATAAAATCCGTTGTCTGGTTCCGTCTGTAAAAGATGTGGTTCCAGACATACAGTACACGGGCGTTTACAAACTAAGTTGCCTCTGTGGTAGCAGCTACATTGGAGAAACCAAACGACATATCTCGGACCGCATCCGTGAACATAAAGCAGACTCAAAACACCGTAGGACTAACTCCTCAGCC